AGTTGAGTGTTTCAAGTTTTATAAAGAGTGAAGAAAGTGATATTTCTGAACTTCTTGTGGTTTGTTAAGAAATCAAACGAATTTTTAAGCACTCATGCAAAACAAATCTGTACGTGTATTTTTTCATTTATCACTTATATAAGTGTTGGGAGCAAATGACGGTTTAGTTGACGTTAGATTAAGTTTCTTTTTGTTGGATTTTTGAGTATTCTGCAACGCCCTTGCTATACGAGTTGGTTTCTGAATAAACACTTTGGGCAGAGAGGCTACTTGTTCTTTTTTTTTTTTGTTTTTTATTTTTATTTGATTTCAGGAAATTTATTAAGTTTACCATTGTGCTTAAGAATTACATTGTGTGATACTGTTAGCTTCTTTAGTTGGTAGATTTGCCTGTGGCAGACTTCAAGTAAAATTTTGAAAATAATTTTTTCTGGTTTTGGGAAACTCTTATCTTACTCAAAAATATGGTAAAAAATCGGAAAGTTAAGGTACGCCTCACCAGTAACGAAAATGCTATTTACATCTGGTACTCCGGTAACCGTGAAATTGTCCCATGTTTTTATATTTTCTTTTTCTGCCTCAAAGTGGTTTTTACAGTGTATTTTAGTTAGCTTATGATGGATAACATATTTTTTGTCTGCTTGCTGTATACTAGGTTTTTTACTTTTTAGAACAATTTTCGTAATGAGGCTATTAAGTTTGCGGACATGTTCGGAAAACTTTTTCATTGCATATAGTCTACTTATTTTCTGATTAACTTTCGTTAGTCTCATTAGAAGTAGGGATTTCAATCCGCTTGGAATGGAGCCGTTTGGAACACGGCCTGCAGGTATGCCTAGTGTAGGAGCTGCAGGGACTGCAAGGTTTACAAGGGCTCATGTTGGCGCTCCAAATGTTTCTCACCAGCCTCCTTCCGTACTTTTTGCGCAGGGACAGCCTCTGTAAGTTCAGTATTTCTTTTTTCTGCTGGAGAGTTTTTTTTTCTTGCTGTGTGGAAACCTGTGTTTGAAATAGTTATTTCTTTCAAAATAAGTTTCCAGAGTTCTGTAGTTACCTGTTTTAAAAATTAGACTTCCCATGACAATTTGTTGTATTTTTAATGCTTTTGCAGAGCTGGGAGTTTGGGATTGAATTACTCGTTACCTGATCCTCATTGGCGACCGGAGCATCATACCACTACTCAAGCTCGCGGCAAGGTACTTGAACCCCTATTTCTTTCTGGCTTTTTCGTCCTTTTTTTTTTTATTTTATTTATTTTATTTTTATTTTATTTTTTTTTTATTTCACTGAGGTTCTATCCTACTGGTATATTATTTATGGAATTAAATTGATTTGTAACAGTGGGCTCTTCTTGAATCACAGTAATATTTTAGACCGTTAGCCAGTTATGTCGTACATCGGAAAATAGCTTAATAGAAATTTTTTTGGTTTATATATTGCTAAAATTAAATTACTTTTTTGATTTAAATTTTTAAAAAATTTTATTTTTGTGGCTTTACGGTAATTCCCGCTGAATTCTTGAATATTAATTGTTTAACGTGTTTGTTTTTGTACGACATTGGGTTTTCTCGCAGCCTACGAGTTTTTAGCTTTTCACTTCTTGCCTCTGAATTAGTTTGTTCATTTTAAAAAAATTTTATCACTGTTTGAGCAATGTTTTTTAGAGACTGCGTGTAGAGGACGCATTATCATATCTCGAGCAAGTTAAGCAGCAGTTTGTTCAAGCTCCAGAGGTTTATGGCGATTTCCTGGATATTATGAAGGAATTTAAATCTCAAACGTAAGTTATAATATAAATCATTTTCTTCTGTGTTCTTTCTTTCAAAGATATTTCTGCCTATTGATATCTGATTTTTGTAGAATTGATACTCCTGGTGTCATATGTCGTGTGTCACGACTTTTTCGCGGAAGGCCTAACTTGATTATAGGATTTAATACTTTCCTCCCTCCTGGATTTGAAGTTAGGTTGGATGGAACAAGGATAATTATTTCGGAGCCGAATGGACAAAGTCGTTGTATCGATGACGGTATGATTAGTTGTTCTTTTTTTTTTT